AAAGGAAAAAGCCCCAAACTTCGAATTAAACAGTTCAATCGTATAAACCTAATAAGCCCCAAACTTCTCTAACAGTTAGTAAACCTCGGTTTGAACGAAATTAGCAGAGCGAATTAGCGAACGAATTGAAGCTGCTCGTCACCTCCGTTGATAACAACTGCTAATCTTTGAGGTTCTTCTCATCACGGTAAGGTTCAAAATTTTACCCTTTTCTATGTGAATTGAGTAATAATTTTTCTAGAAAAGGCATCTGTTGAGCAATATCTGTTTTGAATGAGCAACTGCTATATCTCTTATCATGATTAAATCATCTTCTCTAACAATTTATTCTCAATGTCAATTTCGTACTATCAGTTTCATTGAGTGCCAAGTATAACTGTCGAAATATCGGTCCTCCTAAAATTGAAGTTGATAATTTTTAGTTGTTGTATAACTATAAGGTTGTCATTAGGTTTAGTAGATTGTGCAGCAGATTGTGCTGGAACTTTCCTACTTGTACTCTATCTTGTGCTTGATCATCTGTAATATGTTGTGACTGCCCAGCTATTTCCTTTGCATGAACACCTGCATCAGTTGCACTATCCAAATCTTTCACACCTTCAACACCTTGCCCCTGAATATGCACAGCACTAGATTTCAAACCTGCTGTTTTTTTAACTTCAAGTGCAGCAGTAGGTTTAACAACTGATGGTTTTTCAACCATTTCAAGTGCCGCAGCATTAGCTTGATCACTTTTGGAAGCTTAATTGGTAATCTGAATGAGTATATATTTATTAGCAGAGCTAGTACTTGATCTATCTGTTTTAGCCTATGTGCACGTATTAGTTATGTTAATTTGTGTACTTGTTTAACTATCAGTATACTGAGGATAGTGAACAATTGGCTTATATGTCTCTCACGCTGAAAATGAATCCAAGAGGAGCAGTGAGGATGATGTAACTTAACAAAAATTGAAATAATTCAGTTTAACTAATTGCTTAAACATTGTTTAACCTACTTAAACATTGTCAAAATGGTTCTGAGCTCACAAGAACATTCCTTGAAACTCATGACAAATCTTCAGAGGTGAAATTTCTATTATAATTCCATATTGTACCATACATTTACATCCCATTAAAGTCAATAACATATGTGTGTGTCTTTGTTTACTTATGTCCTAATGATAGTTAATAATATATTTGTGTACCATTGTTTTGTGGAATGTCAAATTTTCTATGTATTCTATACTGTGTGCATTTATGTATGTTATTATTTGCTGGTATCTAGTGCTTATAAGACATATTCATTGTCACTGATTTGTACTATTTGACTATTTGTGAATCATCATTCCCTTAGCAGACGCATTCATGTCGTTGGAGGTGTTTAAAGATAACATAATCTACCACAGTTTCTTGTGTCTTTGAGATGTTTTTGAATGACCTAATGATATCATAACATATGTTATCTAGAGAAGTGGTGTAAATACGCTAGGATGTAGTGACATATACTGAAAATAACTCGAGTTCATTGTAGTATCTATGACATGTTACCAACAAACTTACAATCTTTATTATCGGGACCAGTAGCATCCCAGAAAAGTTCTCCTGAAAATACTGTTGGAGCTAAACTTCTAACCTAAATTTGGATGACATTGAGCTACAAACTGTTGGTTTGGTATTTGTTATTCAAGTTTGTTTTGACGATCTTTCTCGGAGTGATTATTAATCATTTGGCATAGACATACGCTAGAAATATTTGGTTTTCTGATCAGAGATTACCCTTTAACTAGGTAAAAAGTTTGTTATCCTGGAATTTCACCCTATATTAGAATCTTTAATTTATTATGAAATATATCAAGTTTCTTTCTTCTAGTGTTGAGTTTTGCTGAAGGCTTTATCTTGATATCTAGTTGATCAAATTAAGGGATCATCATTCTCTTCGTGATTAGTTCTCCATTCCTCTCCTCATTCTCTTAGTCCGAGCACAGTTGTCTTGTCATCCTAATTCACATAAGTTGCTCGCTAGTTATATTACATCAGTATTTAGTAGCAATCTAAAGTGAAGTTTGATCTGTTCTTATCCCCTAAACTGTTTGCTAATGGATTTTTCTGCGTACGCATTTGCAGCTACTCTTAGATCCTTCAAACGTTTCATGCTTGTTGCAGTTAATTTGTTTGTTTTAAGCATGTTTGAAAGGAGATCTCAGGCAAAATCAGTTATTTACAGATTGACGGAGGAGAAAGCTGCTTTTGTATATCACAGCAACAGACTTCGCCAAAAATTGGTATGAGTAGAATTACTTTCTTTTTCTCATTCTTGTGCCTCCTAAAACCCCGGTACTTGTAGAAAGACCACAGAATCTGCTATATCAATGAGCAGTTTCATATGCAAGTCCTTCTGTCTGCCATTATTTATGTCCTCCTTTCACCTGAATAGTCATTCATTCTAATCATTTAAGTGAGAGCCAGCTGAACTTTCATACACAAACAACTATGCCTCGATCTCAAGCAAGTTGGGGCATTTTGTATCGTGAAGATTCATCATAAATTGAATAACTTTATGCTGGCCGTCAACCTATTGCAATCATCCTCTTTTATCCGTGTTGTTTGCAGAACTTGCATAAACAAACTATTACTCTACTTTGTATAATTTTGATTAGAGTGGATGTATCTTTTAGTTACAATGACTTACTTCTGAAACAATGATGTTTAGCTCTTCTATTGCTTCTGTTTGTAGTTCCTTTTCTAGGAACACAGACATGCTTTAGAAAATAAGTAGATTTATTTGTTAGAATTCAAATGTTTAGAAATCTTGAGCTGATGGTCTATCGAAAACAACATTTCTACCTTCACAAGGTTGGGGTAAGGTCTACGTACACATTACCCTCCCCAGACCCCACTTGTGGGATTGTACTGGGTTTGTTGTTGTTGTTGTATAAGCTTTATTAATTTTTTTCACCTAATCTGTGGTGTAATACTACTATTTATTGCAACTCCAAAGATCTCTATTTAAGGCAAGAATATTGTGTAAGAGAGAGGGATGTCTCTAGGAAGTTTGTGTGATTTTGTAAAGTTGATCCCACATCCTTGTAGATCGTCGCCAAGGCTATAGCAGCAGGGATGTCTCTAGGAAGTTTGAATTTGACAGGAATTTTCTGTTGATCATCACTCATCTTCACAGTGTTCCAATAGTTCATTAGGTTTAGTAGATTGTGCAACAGATTGTTCCACAATAACGTTTAAGTTTTGGTCGATTCCTGGAAGCAATCTGCTAGCTTATAAGTAATATATCTACTATTTTATTGATATTGCATCTTTTTTTAAAGAAACCGGAACTGGGTATTAAACTCTACAAGTTATCTTTCCAATTACAAGTGATAATAACTAGATAAGTACCAAATTGTGGTAGTTGTTTGTGTTGTTGATTGCCTTATCTCAGGTTTATCGAAACAATGAATCATTTTGTTAAATATTCTTACAACTAAGGTCTGCCAATTGGGTTTTATAAATCCTATTGCATTTTAATTATGCCATTTCTCGACATAATTTGTCTCTTGGATTCTACTTTGGTGTCTTATTGATGCAAATGCTATTGGCAATGACCTCTTAAATGATTTTCTGGAATTCATTTATTCGAACTCTCATTTTTTTCCTCTTTGGTTTTTTAAGTTGTGAAATGTGAAAGAAGACGTCGAAGATTCATGTGCAACCAGTAAAGTTGTTAAGATAATATGAAGTAGAATTGCTTAAAACTTTATTCGTAGCATCACAACTAAACAAAAGTGCATATGTTAATTATACCAATCTGAAAACTACCTGTATGAGGAGAATGGCAATGAAAACAAATGTGAAAATCTTCATGTTTTCTTGAGAAGAATATATATGGCAGATGGTTTCTTGGTTTAGAACTATATGACTGAAATGAGGAGGGGCTGGCATTTTTATAGGCATTCAAGTATAATTTGGCAAGACATTTATTGAGCCTTTTGAAAGTTGATCACATGAAGATATTATAATTACAAAATCACAGGCAATTGGAGTAGAGTACTTTTTCTTGGAAAACTTTTTTGATGATCTGATTTTCAACTCTTGTTTGGAAGTTTTCTCTGACTTTAGGTATAGCTTTTAGCTTTAATGTGAGCTACACAGCTGTGGATTCCTTTGCTGGATTGAAAATAAATTGTCCCCTTAACAAAAAGAAAAGCTAGATCATAGGGAAGCAGGCTAGCTGGGAAAGAGAAATTGTATAGTTTGCCAGTTAGCATATTGTTGTATCTTCTTTAATTCTTTTTGTTATCACTGCTTCGTGGATTTATACTTGGATGCTTAATTGGCTTGAGCACATATTACTATGTTGTAATTTTACACCGATTTTCTACAATCTACTTAAATATCTTCACTCCATAGGATGCTTGGAGGACAACACTTCTTCGAAGAGTGAAGGAAACATTGAAGGCTAAGGAGCTCGAGGAAGATGATCTATCTTAATTTGTTCCCCTTTGACCTATTGTAAACTACTAGTACATCCTTTATGTGATTTTATTTGTACTTCTTTCAAATATGTTACTTTGGTTCTTTGTATTAACAAGATATCAAGTATTTGGTTTATTTTCCAGTGTTGTTGAGCGTGTATGAAAGCATATAAATAATTATTACTATTCACGTAATTTAAATTTTTATTATATTTATTACATTTTCATATTAGCAAAGAAAAATGTGGTCATTAAAACTCTTCAACGACATGTTTCTCAAATAGATAAATGACTATTAACGAAGAGAATTTTTGTTGTTAAAAGTAATTATACAATTAACAAAGGGAATATCGATCGCTAAAAGCACTTGAATTGACTTAATACATTGTTGTCGTTAAAGACTTTTAATGACCGGATAATAAATTAGCGAAGGGAAAATCTTGTAGCTAAAACGCATATTTAATGACCAACAGTTATGCCGTCGCTAAATATCCTTTAACGACCGGTGACGACCAGATTTTTTTCTGTCGTTAATAACTTATAACGACCAGAATTGGACTTTTAACGACCAGATTTCCCCTCGCTAAAGCCCCATTTTCTTGTAGTGCAAGTCCATATGATATTTTTGAGTTAGTATGCATGTTTGATTTAGAGCACCGAGGTCTTGAGTGAGTTTCAGATAAGTTACGGGATGTTTTTACACTTAGAAAGGTTGCAGGTTTTGTTGCTTCTAATGCACAGATGTTTTGTGCGTCGCGGTCGTGAAGCCATTATCGCAATCGCGAAAGGGAAATTAGGGCTGGGGTGAATTTGTTCTACGCGAACGCGAAGATAAGGATGCGAACGCGGAGCACTGGGGGGCTGCTCTACGCGAACGCGGCCCATTTCCCGCGAACGAGTATAGTAAATTGGAGGTGGGGCTGGGATGTTGTCGTTCTTCTATGCGAACGCATACACAGGTCCGCGAACGCGAAGGTCAGGGGCCCAAACCTTCACGAACGCGTAGGAGAACTCGCGATCGTGTAATTCCACTTCTAGCAACTCTTCACGATCGCGACAATGTTCTCGCGAACGTAATGAACACTGTTGCCCGACTCTTTAAAACAGTAACAAAAACGGGAATAAACCATTTTTTCACATCGCCTTCCCCAAAATCAAAACCTATGCGATTTTTGAAGAGCAAAATCAACACCAAAATGTAGGTATGTGTTCCTAAACTCATCTCCTTCATTTTTCATCAACACCCATTAGATTTCTAGCCCTAAATATTGTTCTTCCATGGTAGAATTTGGGATTTTGGGTAGAGTTAGGGCTTTTTGAATAATTGGAATTTAGACCTCGTTTTGGGGTCGGATTTCAAAACTAATTGCATATTCTGGCTCGTGGGTGAATGGGTGATCGGGTTTTGGTCCGAACCTCAAGTTTTGACCAAGCGGGTCCGAGGTCAATTTTTGACTTTTTGGGGAAAATGATAGAAAACCTATAATTAAGCATTGGGTATGAATTCTTTAGCATTTATTGATGTTGTTAAATTAATTTGGACTAGATACAAGTAATTTGGAGGTAAATTCTAAAGGAAAAGCGGTGTTTGAGGCTTGAGTTGGCCGTGAAAGTTCGAGGTAAGTGTTTGGTCTAACCTTAGCTTGAGGGAATAGGTACTGTGCTTTATTTGCTATGTGTTAGTGTAGTGTACGACGTATAGGTATGGTGACGAGTACCTATACGCTTGTGTCAAGCATGCTTGTGAGTCTTAAGTTGTGATCATTGTATTTCTTAATAAGTACTACGAATGCCTAAATTGTTGATTATCCATGTTGAGAAAGAATTATGATTATTTTCTTAGTATTTGGTTACTGTTGAGCATTGGCTCTAGTTGAGGTTAAATTGCGAAGTTGCTTATTGGTTCAAGTTTGGTTATAGTTGATTCCCTTGCCGGGACGTATTTAATTCTTATTGTTGATTCCCTTGCCGGGATGTATTTATACTTATTGTGTATTCCCTTGCCGAAATATTGTTGTTGCTATTATTTGGGTGAGGAAAGAGTGATAAAAGCACGAAGGGTGATACTGTGCACATTTCTAATACTTATATCGTGAGGAAGAGAGATAAAGCATGAAGGGTGATGTCGTGCACATTTTCATTACTTGATTGCATTGGTGAGGATTGAAAGTAAAAGCACGAAGGGTGATGCCGTGCACTTATTTCCTGTTTATTATTATTTCTTGCTACTTTGGTTCAAGTACCTTTATTGTCTTATTCCACTACTATTGTGATTCATTATGTTATTGTTTCCCCCATAGCATGTTACCCTTCCCCCATTACTTTTGAATTGTTTTTATTACTGTTATTCTGTTAGATATTGTTTAGCTGCAGGTTGTTTGGTTGTTGTGTCCTAGCCTCGTCACTACTTCGCCGAGGTTAGGATCGACACTTACCAGCACATGGGGTCAGTTGTGCTGATACTACACTCTGCACTCTTTTGTGCAGATCCCGGTACTGGAGCATACGGACCTTAGCTAGGGGTTGCTGCCTTCAGTCCATCAGGAGACCCGAGGTAGACCTGCAGGCATCTGCATGCCTTGGCATCCCATCCCTATCTAGTTTCTTTCTGTTATTTTATATTCCAGAGACAGACATGTACTTTCTTGTTCAGACTTTATTTGTAGTTTTTTTAGATAGTCCGTGAAATTGTGACACCAGTTCTGGGTGGTTTATGTTTATGGATTCGTGTTGGTATTGGCTTAATTGTTAAGTTTTATTCTTCCGCTTTATTAATTTCCCTTGTTTATAAAATGTTAATTTACAATTGTTAAGGGATTAAAAAGGAAAAGGGTAAACTAATTGGAATTATTGACTTGCCTAGCTTTCACTAGTAGGCACCATCACGACTCCCGAGGGTGGAAAATTTGGTTTGTGATAAGTTGGTATCATAACTCTAGGTTGTTTAGGTCTCACAATTCACAGACAAGCTTGGTAGAGTCTGAGGGATCGGTACGGAGACATCTGTGCTTATCCCCCAGAGGCTATAGAGTTAGGAATAGTTTCACTTCTATTCTTCTCTGTCGTGCGATTTGGTTTCTCAATGCTAATTGAACTTCTACTCTGTTCTTCCGTAAATGGCGCGAACACATGCTTCTTCATCCACTGATCAGCAGCCCGAGCCCCTAGTAGCAGCATCTACGAGGGGCAAAGGGCGAGGCCGAGGCCGTGCTAGAGGCCAAGGCAGGGGCAGAGCTCAACCTAGAGCAGCAACACCAGTGGCGGAGCCTCAGGTTGAGTTTGTTGATGAGGTTCCGGCCCATACAATTTCGGTGGGCCCAGCTCAGGTCCTAGAGGGGTTCATTGCTACCCCACTACGTCAGGATGCTCTGGTCTGTCTAGTGGGCCTTATGGAGAGAGTCACTAAGGTAGGCTTACTTCCTGTAGAACCAACCGTCTCTTAGGCTGGGGGAGGAGTGCAGACTCTCGCTACCCACACTACGGAGCAGATGGCTCCCCAGTTTCAGACTCCAGTAGCTCAGCCAGTTAGAGCGGTTCAGCCGGATGTAGTAGCTCAGACCAGTGATGGAGCAGCTATGTCTGCTGATGCTTTGTGGAGGTTGGACAGGTTCACCAATTTATTCACTACTACTTATGGTGGTACATCTTCAGAGGATCCCCAGGATTACTTAGACAACTGTCATGAGGTTCTTCGGAACATAGGGATAGTGGAGACCAATAGGGTCGAGTTTGCTATCTTCCGTCTGTCACGTTCCGCCAAGAAATGGTAGAGAGATTATTGTTTGGCCAGACCAGTTGGATCACTAGCTCTCACTTGGGACCAGTTCTCGCAGCTATTTCTTGAGAAGTTTTTTCCCGTCACTCAGAGAGAGGAGTACCATAGGCGGTTCGAGTGTCTCCAGTAGGGTTCTATGACTGTTACCTAATACGAAATAAGGTTTATTGATTTGGCTCATCATGCTCTTCTGATACTCCCCACCGAAAGAGAGAGAGAGAGGGTAAGGAGGTTTATTGAGGGACTCGCTCAACCTATTAGACTGCAGATGGCTAAGGAGATAGGTAGCGAGATTTCTTTTAAGGATGCGGCTAATGTGGCCAGGAGAGTTGAGATGGTTTTGGCTCAGGGGAGCAGTCAGGGGTCTGATAAGAGGCCTCATCATTCTGCAGATTTAGTGGTGCCTCGTTTGGAGGTAGGGATTCTTTTGGCAGAGGCCATCCTCCTAGGCCCTTTTAGTCAGCACTTCAAGTTTCTCACGGTGCTCCAGGTGGCCATGGTTCTCATATGCAGTATTCTAATCAGTTGCCCTATAGTGCGCCACCAGATCCTATCAGTGCACCTCCGCTCCAGCATTTTCAGAGTGGTTATCCAGGCCGTCAAGGTCAGTTTCAGGGTCAGCAGTCTCAGCAGCCCAAGTCTTGTTATACTTGTGGTAATACAAGGCACATTGCTAGGTTTTGCCCTCGAACCTCGAGCAGTTCTCAGCACCAGGGTTCTCGTGCTATGGTTCCAGCACCGGGTGTTCCACTGCCCACTCAGCCAGCTAGAGGTAGGGGTAGAGGTGTTAGAGGTGGAGGCCAGGCCGCTAGAGGTGGAGGTCAGAAAGCTAAAGGTAGAGGCCAGCCAGTAGGAGGCCGTCCTAGGGATGCAGTTCAGAGTAGTGGGTCCCAACCCCGATGTTATGCTATGCCAGGCAGACTTGAGGCCGAGGCCTTCGATGCAGTTATCACAAGTACGGTTTCAGTGTGCAGTAGAGATGCCACGGTTCTATTTGATCCAGGGTCCACATATTCTTATGTATTATCTTATTTTGCCCCTTATCTAGTTATGCCTCACGATTCTTTGAGTTCTTCTGTATATGTGTATACACCGGTAGGTGACTCTATTGTGGTAGATCATGATTATCATGCTTGCGTGGTCATTATTGGGGGTCTTGAGACCCATGCGGATCTCCTACTTCTCGACATGGTGGATTTCGATATCATTCTGGGGATGGATTGGTTATCCCCATATCATGCTATATTGGATTGTCATGCCAAGACCGTGACCTTAGCATTACCAGGGTTTCCTCGTTTGGAGTGGAGAGGGACTCCTGGTCATTCTACTAGTAGGGTTATCTCATATATGAAGGCTCGGCGTATGGTTTATAAGGGATGTTTGGCCTATTTGGCGTATG